ATGAGGATTCTGAGATACTCCTGCATTTTATTCTGGAAGAAACAGGAAAGTGGAGTGTCAAAATCTTGTTGAAGTTCAAGGCCAGGTTGGATGGGGCTTGGAGCAACCTGTGCCAGCAGAAGGTGGCCCTGCCCATGGCAGGGGGTGGGACTGGATAATCTTTAAAGTCCCTTCCAAACCAAACCATTCTGGGATTCTATTATAAACAAATACTCAGAGCTTTGAAGCTCTGGAAAGCTCATTCCAGCCCTTTGAGGTAATTTCTGCACTTTCCCAGGTTCTGGTTTCACTCAATAACTCTTGGCTGCAGCAGGGCCCAGCACGAAAGAGAACAGGAGGAGCCACTACTCCTGCTTGTGTCCAGAGCAGCACGGGCTCTCCTGTGCCTCCTTCACAAGAAGGGAGCCAGACTCTTCCTCTGACAAACAGTGAAAGTGAGAAGATAAAAGCAAGACTCCCTGTGCCCCAGGCAGTACAACTCTCCTGTCCCTGTCTAGCCAGCAGCATCACTAATGTGACAAGCAAACAGCAGGCTGGGATGGCTGGTGAGAAGGTCTGGTCCTACCCACCTCATCCCTTCACCTCACCTGCTCCCCGACCTCTCCGTGCCCCCTACTGCCTTTGCCAGCAGAGCTCCGGGGCTGTGGCTGCAAGGGAATTGTTTTGATTGAAGGTGAGGGGAAAAAATCCTCCTTTCTGGTGCTCTGCACAACCTGGGATCTGTCTCACCTGTGCTCCATCACTCATGGATGAATTCCTCAAGGTCTGTAACAGGATCAGGCTGGGCTCAGTCCAGTGCTAGGAGACTCCCAGCAGAGCAGAGCCATGGCCCATGTCCTCACTTTGGACTGTGTCACCTGTCCTTGAGCTCATGGGCTCCTCTGAGTCCTGTCAGGACAGCCCTCCCCAAAAGACCCTGTGTGGCTGGGACACAACCTGGGCTGTGCCAGCCACCGAAATTCAAACTCTACTGATGCCTGGCATGCACCTGGGACAGAGCTGTGAACTACACATCTTCCTGCCCGTAGATGTAGAGAATCATGGAAGGTTGGAAAAGACCTCCAAGATCATCAAATTCAACCTTTGACTGAATGCCACTTTGTCCACTAACCCATATCACCATGTTGTGACATACTGCTGTAAAATGCCACCCAGAATAATAACACAAATAATCATAACAACTTTTCTGGATCTATAGAGGGGGAGAAATCATCTTGTTTTATTGGGACAGTGGGTTGGTTTCCTTCACCACACACTCCTGGCATTCCCTCTGTAAGGGCCCTTTATGGCTCTGTGTGGCTCTGATTGCAGCCAAGAGCCTCTGACATCAGCACTAATCCTCCCTCCTTATCCCCTGTGACAAGAGTTGCTCACAAAAGGGACACATTCCCAAGAGCCTGGATGCTCTCTTACCCCCACCGCTGGGAGGTCTTTAATTTGTCTCTGGATACGCCAGAGCCCAAGGCTTCCTCCCTCTCCTCAGGTCACAGAAGCCACTTACCAAGAAGTGCCCTTCCCACTGCTATTAACTCATCCCTGACCATGGAGCCCTTTCCTTCAGCTTTCCAGGGCACTCAGCCTGTCCACAGTGTGGACAGAGCCTGCAAATCCTCACAGCACCAAAACTCTCCCCACTTCCCACCCCTCCCAAAGAAAGCCCACAAATTAGTAGTCAGGGGCTGCCAGCAAGAGCTGGTGCCTGGCAAGGCTCTCAATTAGTCAAGTGTTGTTATCCAGAGCCCTGGGCCAGGCGCAGCTCCTTGACCCCTTGGGATGCTGGCACAGCTCTCAGTCACTCTCTTGGCTCAGATCATTTGTTGAGGAATGGCTGGGAAAAGACCTTTGGTGGCACCCAGGCTCTGTCACAGTCCCTGCAGACGGGACTGTGGCACATGGAGAGCCCTGGATTTCACTCCTGAAGGGATGCTGAGCTTTGGGGGATGAGGCACTGCTCAGCTGCAGGGTGTGAAAGCAGCAGTGCAGGTGAGCTGGAGATGCACAGTGTGCAGCTGGAGGTCAAGGAGAGCCTGCTGAGAAGAGCAGGGAGAAAACCCAGCCTGGGCTCAGAGGTGACAGAAGGTATTGCCCAGGAAGGCAGGTGGATCATGGTTATGGGGACTCAGTTTGCTCGAAAGGGTCAAGGCCATGGGATGATGGTCACCAAACCATATGCCACTCACCTGGCCACACTCAGGACCTTCCTTCCCTCTGGCTGCTCTAGAGGGGTTGCTTTCTTACTCTCACAAGATATTTTTCCTGGGATCCCAGCATGGTTTGGATTGCAAGGGATATAAAAGCTCATCACGCCTTGCCATGGACTGGGACAGCTTCTACTATCCCAGGGTGCCCCAAGCCACATCCAACCTGGCTTTGGGCACTTCCAGGGATGGGGCAGCCACAGCTTCTCTGGGCAACATGTGCCAGGGCCTCCTCATCCTCCCAGGGAAGAATTCCCTCCCAGTACTCCATCTAACCCTGCCCTCTGGCAATGGGGAGCCATCCCCCCTTGTCCCAGCACTCCATGCCCTTATAAAATGTGGGTGCTGAGGAACTGGTGACACCTGAAGGTTTTGGATGCTGCTGGTGAAGGGGCATCTCTCCTCAGTCTTGCAGCACAGAGGGTCCCCAGCACTCACCCTGTGCTCCTTGGGGAACCAGGAGGGTTTTCCCTGCTTCCTGCAGGGCTACAGGACCCTGAAGGGTGGTGGGCACTTTGCTTTGTCCAGCTGTGGCAGGAGCACAACCCCTGCACACATTCAACAATGGAGCCCCAGCTGGCTCCTCCATCCAGAGCCAAGGCAGGGGGAGGCTCTTCCTCCCTCTGCTCCCTCTCCTCTCCCCCAACAGCCCCCATTCTCCTGTCCCAGCTCTGCCTTTGTGTCTGCAGCTTCTGTTACCAACTGCTAATGATCTACATCAAGGCTGCCAGGCGGTGCCGGTGCGAGTGCAAGCAGAAGAATCCAGAGCCTCTAATTACAGAGGAATTAGCAAGCAGACAGTTAGTGTTTAGTGCTAATGAATAGATACATTAAGAGAGACATCACACAGGCTGAGAAGTGTGAGCCCCGATAATAAAGGAGTGTCAAACCAGGAAAACACAAGGAGGAGGATGCAGGGGACTGAAAAGGATTTGCCTTCGACTCAGCTCGCTGCTTTTGCTCAGGTGGGAGCAGCCATGGGTGATATACGAAGGTTCAAGCACAGCAGAGAAATGCAAGTATGAAATATGAGCATCAAATGATTAATCCATAGTACAGGACCATGGTGGGAGGGTGCAGAGTCCCTTCCCAGCTCCAGGCAGCATTACAGCCACCCCATCTCCATCAGGTAAAGGAAGCTGGTCATTCAGATCCATTCCTCTCTCCTCCTTGGGACAGACCTGTCCCTGCTCGGAACCAAACCATGGCTCAGCCTGTGTCAGACCTTCCTTCAGGTCTCCAAAACACTCTGGCCCCACTCCTGAGCTAACTCCAGATTGATCAAAAGGCACCATAATAATTCCCCCAGGCATTTCTGCAGGTTCCCTCTGTCCTCATGCTCTGGAAGTGATGTCCAAGTGATGCCCAACTGCCTTACTGCTGTTTTACCACACGCACCATCCCTGGCAGCTAGGACACACCATGGCCACCAGGTGATTCACCCACGGCTGCCAAATTCAGCCCTGGGGGTCAGGTAGTGTCCAGAGCATCTTCAGAGGGACCAGAATCTCTCCTGCTCCCAAGCAGGGCTGTTCCTCACTGGCATCCTTCCACCTCAATCCCATTAAGACAAGCCCAGCCCCGGCCTGTGCCCAGCTCCAGATGTCTTCCAGGTGGGCTGGGAAGGCAGCCCCTGGCCAGCAGCTCAGTGGGGCTCCTGCCACCAGCACAGCTGCCAAGGGGCTGCTGGGGACCCTCCTGGGAGCAGCACTACCACCACTCTGACCATCCCTACCCCCAACAAAGCCCCCCTACACACAGCTGGAGACCCGACTGAAACCCTTCCAGCTCTGTGCCTCAGCTGCTTCACCAAGTGACTCTGCAATGGCACAGGAACTGGAGCAGATTCCCAGACTGTTAGCCCAAATATCCATCTCCCAGCCCCTCTCCTGAGCAGCTCTCCTTTGCTTTCTCAGTCTGTCCTGGCTCTCTCTACAGCCCAAGCAGGGACTGCAGCTCCCATCAAAATGCTGCAGCCACCTCACCTTCCCTCCCCAGAACCAGGAGTGTGCCTGCAATGACGCTTCGAGGCAACAGCCTCAGGCCCAGGCACACCCAGTGCTGGAGAGTGATGCTGTGACACCGGGGGACAGTGCCACCAGCGGTTCTGCTGCCATGATGGGGAGGCACCTCTGCCTTGGGGCACGCTCCAGCTTTTCACTCAAATAAGGGATATTTTGACACTGAGGACTTGGGATTCACTCAGGAATTGCCAGGCACTCCTCACCACCAACACTATGGAATAAACAACACCTCACCCCACCTCTTGTCCCCTTCCAGTCCACAGGGGCTCAGCCAGCACTGCCCAGAGATGCTGCCCACCCCTGATGCCTCAGGTTTAGCTTTTCTATTTTTCAGATTTTATTCTGCTTTAGTGTCTACGTCTAGGCTTCATATCAGGGGATGGTGAGCTCTCTTCACAGAATAGGTAGATAAAACAATTCCTTCTCTGGCTGGGAACCCAAGGACAGCTGATCCAGATCTCAGGTCCAAGAGCATAAACAACATGGACTGAAGAGAGAAAACAAGAAGGATGGGACTGCATGGGCTAAAGCTGTAACTGGACAATTAACTCCAATATGCAAATAGACCAGAACTCATAAAAGTGTGAGACCACATAACCTGTCATCCATTTTTGTGGCCATTTTGGGTTGTGCTGCCCAAGGTGCATCTAACTGAGGCCTCTTAATAAATCCCTACTTTATTCTTTAGCTCTGTCTAGTCTCTGTTCTAGGTCAGCCTTCACCGGGCACCACCGCGCCCCACGGCGTGGGAGCTGAGGGAGGGGGCTCTGGGCCTTACCGGCCTGGTTGGTGGTGATGTTCACGGAGGCGAACTGCGGGGAGAAGGGGCTCTGGTCGGTGACGCCGTTGACGGCCTGGATCTCGAAGGTGTACTGGGTGTGTGCCAGCAGGTCGCTGATGTAGATGCGGGGCTCGGTGAGGCCCAGCTGGCGCGGGGCGAACTGCACGTTGTCCCCGCAGCGCGTGCAGGCCCCGCGGCCCGCCCCGCAGCTCTTGCAGATGATGTTGTACACCAGGTCCTCCCGGCCCCCCGAGTCCCGCGGAGGGCTCCACTCCAGCATCAGCGACGTCTCGTTCACGCTGGAGATCACGGCCTGGGGGGCGGACGGGATGGCTGGAAAGGGAACACACAGGAAGGTGTGAGACAGCTGCACGCCTCTCCCCCCATCCCTGGGCAGGACTCTGCATGAGCCAAGCTGGGTGCTTCTCTTGCTGTCAGGATGTGTGCAGCAAGCTGGACATCCAAAGCAAAGAGTGCGAATGAAACCAGTCCTCTTACCCTGGGCTAATTTGACTGTGTGACAGTCCTGGCAAAATTTACCAGTTAGTTGTGTAGTGTCCCCCAAAACCCCACTGGGACAGACACTTTTGTCAAGCATCCCTCGGTGCTTTGACTGAGGATCATCTCCTTTCCCCAGCACGTGGTCCCCTCCCAGCTGCCCAGACCCACATACTGGTGCACGGCATGTCCACGGGGTCGGCGTCTGCCCGGTAATATCCATTTCGGCACACGCAATTTGTGGCCCCTTCCGAGGTTGTCCGGCTGTTGATGGGGCAGTGGACACACCCTTCATCCCCTTGGCTGGCCTTGAATGTTCCTGAGGGACAGCCTGGAAGAGAAGAGAGCAGTGGTGAGCAGTGAGAAGAGGGCTGGGGGGATGCCTGGAGCCCAGCACTGCTGCCCAAACTATCCTTGGGGTCTGCAACATCCAAAGCAAATCCTGACAACTGAAGGTGAACACCATAGAGAAGGAACAGCTGGTTGGAAGGCCCTGAGGAGGCACCTGCAGAAATGGGTCCCTGTGTAGACACTTCTGTCCCTGTTCCCCAGCAGTGCAGACGAGTACAGAACAGGGATTGTAGGAGTGCAGAGAGAATTTTTAGCCACCGCCACATAAGATGTCAGTGGCTGTACCAGGTCAGACTGTGGACACCACAATTCTCCCCCCAACAGCGACTGTCAGCGGGCTTTAGGCTGCATGTCAGGGAATGGTTCTTCCCCCAGAGGGTGCTGGCACTGCCCAGGCTCCCCAGGGAATGGGCACAGCCCTGAGGCTGCCACAGCTCCAGGAGCATTTGGACACTGCTCCAGGGACACACAGGATGGGATTGTTGGTGTGTGTGTGTGCAGGGTCAAGGGTTGGATTTGATACCTATGGGCCTCTTCCAAGTCAGGATATTCCATGATTCCATGACCACCCAAGGAGCAGGGCATGAACCAGGTGCATGTGTTGCCCACATCTCTTCCCCACTCCCTTCTGAGACACAACCCCTTGCACTCAATGCCCCACGTGGGTGTTTCTCCCACTCTGTTACCCACTCAGTTTGTCATTCCCCACAAATGTCCTGCATCTGTTTCACCCATAGAGCCCTGTGCTGTAACCACACGCTGCAGAAGAAACTGCTGCTCTCTGCTTCAAAGCAAATCTGCCATTCTTGATGCCATCCCACATTTCCATTGCCAATGGACACTCAATCACCATCTGCCTTGTCCATGACCTCTAGAGTTGTCCAAATCTGTCATGCTCCACACTGCATCACAATATTCACTTTTTTATTATTTTCTTTTTTCAGCAATGCCCACATGATTTTTTAACCACTGACTGTGAAAGCCTCAAGATCTGAGTTGTGAGGCCAGCTCCTAGCCCATCTCTGTGCAGGTGTGTGTGAATTGGTCTGCTGGAAGATGCCCCTGCCCATGGCATCTTTAAGGCACCTCCAAACCCAAACCATCCTGTGATTCCACCATTCCATGAACCTGGGGTGGTTTTCTCCCATTTGTATCACCTCAGGTCTTGTGAATTTCAACTGCCTTCTCATTCCCTGGTCACACTGTCTCACAGGGTCCTTTTGCAATTCTCCACAGAGTTTTGTCTTCACGACTTTGTAGATGTGGCACTTGGGGACATGGCAGTGCTGGGTTGATGATCCTAGGGGACATTCCCAACCTTAATGATTTTATGACTCAATATCACAAATAAATTGTTGGTTCTGCTGAGCAGTAACAGTGGGCTGGGCTCTCCCTCCAGGCTCTGAGCCCCTCACACGTGGAGAAGATGCTCCATAAGCAGCAGCCACTCAACCCCACGTGTGTCCAGCCCCACAGGGCGGGTGAGGGGACACAGGGGTGTGTGGTGCCTACAGCAGACAGTGGTGAAGACTGGACCATGCTGTGATCCAGCACTAACAGGTTTAGCACTCATGGATAAAAGCTTTCAACACCAGAAAGTCCTTCCAAGCCCAGGGATCACTGGTGCCCAAGGAAAAGCTCAGCTCACACCGTTCCTCTGTGGTTTCTCCTGTTGTGACTTTCTGCTGCTGTTAATTCTTACACAGCCTGAAGAGCCTGGGGGTAGGCAGGTGGTTCCTGTGCTGAAACAAGTTTAACAAACTTCTCCTTCAGTCGCCTGCCAAGGCTCCCAGGAATGAGGCAGATCAGAAAATAGCCTGGGAAAAACATTCACTGGGGTTGCTGTGAGCAAGAGCCATTGCTAAGAAGTAGTTATTTCTTATTTGGGAAAATAGGGAAAAAAAGAAGGTTGTTTTTTTTTTCTTCAGTTGTTATCTCCTTTCCTCCAGAATTAGCCTGAGTTTCTAATGAGAAAAGCTCTACAGAGAAATTCCATCAGCCTTCCTGCTTGCACTATCCCTCCTTCCTCTTATGGCCAAAGGAGCTGTTGAAAACCAGGATCCTCCTCATGTCCCTGGATCCTTCCATCGATCCCTCACCTGCTCGATTCCACTCCTGACCCACTTCCCTCGGGACCAGCCCATCTCAGAGGGTGTTAAGCTGTTGGGGAGAGGTGATGGCTGGGCAGTTCTGCATTCCCCAGAAGCAATGGGGACATGATAACAGGCTTCCTGCACTAATACCAATATTTGAGACACACAAAAGACATAAGGGATAAAATTGCTCTCATCTGACAGCCCAGGTGAAATGCACAGTCATTCCAGCAAGGATGGTTTCAGACAGGGGCCTCTTTCACCTTCCTGAGGTTTATTTTAAAAATAGATACTTTCCTATAATGCTTCTTCTGCATCAAGACAGAGAGACATCCAAAAAGTGCCCAGACTGTGGAGGGTATTGACTACTCCAAGGGATAAAAACATTCCCCACATTGGCCCTGGTTAATGGCTGGAGAGGGATAAAAACTGAGGCTCAGTGGTTGTTCCTCAGAAATACCAAGCTGGGACACTGAAACTCTTTGCGTGAGCCACACAAGCCAGGAGTTTTGGCAAGTCCCTTCCTCCCCAGCAGATTCTGCATGGGATAAAATAATCCTGGAAAAATCAGAACTTCTCCAAAGTAAAATGTTCTGAAATCATGTGTGAAGACAGAAAAGTCACTGAAATTTGATACAAAGTCCTTTTTTCTACTGATTTATTTTTCTCCAGTAATGACAACGTCCAGAAGTAAAATTGTCTACAAAATTGTTTACATTGTCTTCAAAACTGTTCTGCTCCCTCCAGGTCTTCCACTGGGTGAGAAAACAGATTTTCTTTAGGAATTCACCCAATTTCTTGTTTCCAGAACAAACAGCAAATCAAAAGTGAAATGTTCACACAGGGGCTAAAACCCCTCCTGCCTGAACAATGGGAATGTTCTCACTATGTGCTGGAAGCATCACAAAATCATGGAATATCCTGAGCTGGAGGGGATCCAGAAGGATCATCAGTCCCACTCTTGGCCCTGCACAGACACCCCAACAATCCCATCCTGGGCATCCCGGGCAGTGCCAGCACCCTCTGGGAGAAGAACCTTTTCCTCATGTCTAGCCTGACACAGACATGAGGACACCCAGTTTTCTACCCTGGGAGGTGACAGCAACTTTGGGACATTGCTGTTTTTTCTTAGGCTTGCAGCAAGGACATCCCTAGAAACTCCTGCTTGCAAAGATGAAAGTTAAACAGTGAAAGCACAGAAATTTCTACTTTATCCAAGCATCCCTCATCCCTGGAGGGAGATTTTGGTGCCAGTGGCTCTGGCCCCATCACAGCAGCAGTTTCCCCCACCCCCAGCCCTGATGGAATGCCAGCAGGGGCTCACAGGGACAGAGGGACCTTTAGCTGCCTGGCTGCTGCACAGACCATGGATGGCTGCCTCACTGGGGTGCGCTCCAAGGCAGCCTGCAGCACTCCTGTGGCTCTCTCCAGCAAGGCTGGGAATGCTCAGCAGCACAGGGGGTCCTTGTTTCCCACTCACTCACTCACTCACTCCTGGGGCATGGAAAGGTGCTCGTGCTTGGGAAGGCATGTGCTTTGGGAATCACGGAATAAACTGAGCTGGAGGAGACCCACAAGGATCATGGTGTCCAACTCCTGAAGGGAAGGGAATGCCATGGACCCACGGAGCATCCTGCCCTCCCTGCAGAGGACCACACCAGGATGTGGGAGGCAAGGCCACCTCTGCTGCTGGCACCAAGCTTCCAGCCCTCCTGTCCCAGGGCAGCTCAGCAGGGAAAGGCACCCCATGGCTCAGAGAAAGCCTTTGGCCAAATGTGCAGGAGGGGCCACACAGGGGCTCCCTGTTCCTTTGTGTCTCACTGCCTCTCTCTAACCAAATGTTTAATTAATCCAGTGCGAGCTGGGCAGGCTCCAACCAGGCTCTCCTGCATCCCAAACTGCCCTGGCCTTCAGAGTCCACCCCAGCCTCCTCCTGGAAACAGCTCTGAGCAAGCAGCTCCCTCCTACAATAAAAACTCCTAAAATGGCACCTTCAGCCCATGCTGAGGGCTCTGAGGAAGGAAGGATTCTTCTCGCCCCCTCTGCCTGGCCCTGTTTCTGCTGGCAGCAAGGATCCCTGAACTCCAGTGAGGCATTTTTAAAGGCTGATGGAAGCCAGGCAGCCCTGGCTGTCAGGATCTGCCAGGAGCCTTAAATCCCCAGCCTTATCTCCCAGTGGCTCCTTTCTCCCTGCGGGGCCAGGGCTGGGGGCTGGCTCTGCAGCTCCCCTGCTGCTGCAGGACCCAGGGCCAGCCCCCTTGGCCACATCCTGCCTCCTGCCCCCCTCTCTGGGTTTAGGGGTCCCTCTCCATGCTTTTGGGATTCCTCCTCCATGCTCGTGGGGTCCCAGCCCCACGGCCCTCCCTGCTCCCACTGGCACCCTCATCACCCCACAAACCCTACGTGGGTGCCTTGGCCCCACACCACAGTGCTGCTCCCACTCTGACCCCACATAAAATGAGTCCCACAGACATGTTCTTATGGAGAATAAGGAAAACAAATGTTGTGAGCCAAGCCAGGAGGAGCGTGGCCAGGACACTGGGGGAGGTGTTTTCCTTTCCCTTGCCAGGCACTGGGGATGCTGCCATGGTTAAGCTAGGGTTGCACAGTTCAGGGGTGATATGGAGAAGTCCAATAGAGAGTCACCAAGATGGTCATGCCTGGGGCACAGGGCCTTTGGATCCACTTCCAACTCCCCCCTGGTGTCCCCAGCTGGAGAGGGCTGCAGGGAAGAGGAGTCAGGCCTTGAGGAGGCAGGTGTGACACCCGAGCCCTCTGGCTCCTGGAGCTGGCTGCTAGCTGGGACAGAGCGAGGAGCTGGGACCTGTGGGTGCAGCTCTCTGCCCTCTCCCTTCCCGGGGCCACATGGGTCTCCTGTTTCCTTAGG